TAGCAAATGAGACGCAATGAATAATGATGATGATGATGTTAATAATAAGAGCTGAGTGCTTACAAGCTGTAGAATATTCAACTTGAAGACAGCTGAAGTCTCCATCCCTGTGAGGACTCAGGTCTTAGCCAGGTGTACACATCTATAATCCCAGTGGGAGGCTGAGGCAGGAGGATCCCAAGTTCAAGGACAGCCTTGGCAATTTAGCAAGAGCCTGTAAAAAAAGAGCTGGGAGTGTAGTGTAGTAGTAGAGCATCCCTGGGTTGCATCCCCAGTACCAAAAACAAACACACAAATAAATGATAATACAACGAAAGGACTTGTGTTCTAGGTTCCTATGTTCCTACACTACCTTTCTCAGTGTTGCCCACATTTCTGAGAGCAGCCTCAGCAGGACCCACTATACTCACCTGGCACCTCCTATCCCACTCAACAGGGGCTGCATCACATAAAAATAACTTCTTGGCTTTTATAGCACTTTCCATCCCTTGTCCCTTGGGATCCTCCCAGCTGTGAGATACGTGGGTTTTATTTTCCTTTCAATTTTATAGAGGAGATAACTGAGGTGGAATGAGGCTGGGGTAGTCAAGATTTGGGCCTGGTAGCTCAATCTTTCCTTGGTGGCAAAGGTTTGAGCCTGGTCTTGACTTAGAATCTTGTGTGCTTTCCTGGGTCTCAAGCTGTACTTTGGGGTCCAGACTAACCAAGGTGTTTCTGGTTGTCAAATCCTCAGCACACCTTTACAGGCATCTTGTGAGCAAAAAGGTAGCTAAAGAAACCCAATCTCTGCTGGGCGTGGTGGCACATGCCTGTAATCCCAACAGTTTGGGAGGCTGAGGCAGGAGGATCATGAGTTCAAAGCCAGTCTCAGCAATTTAGCAAGACCCCGTCTCAAAATAAAATATAAAACAGGCTAGGGATGTGGACCAGTGGTTAAGAAAGGAAGAAAGGAAGAAAGAAAGGAAGAAAGAAAGAAAGAAAGAAAGAAAGAAAGAAAGAAAAGGAAACCCAGTATCTGTGAATGTTCTGAGACCCCCAGCAAATACCCTCATGCTAAGAAGAGTTTACAGCATGGTGGGGGCAGGGAGTCAAAGGAGGAGGAGATGTGGATTTTGATCACATGTTAGTCCATGACATCTCTAGTCATCCTAGCCAAGTTTCTAAGGTCCCTTGATCCCCAAGTCTATAATGCAAGTGGAGAAAAGATAGCTAAAGTGGTATTAGACTAGCCTAGGCAAACAGACATCTGCAATCCTCATCATCATTACTTTGACTTTGAAATCAACAGCTCAAAGATCCCACTACCAACACATTTAAAAATTTAAAGACGATCGGTATAGCCTAATAGTTCTGCCAACTCCTTAAAAAAAATTAAAAAAAGAAAAGAAAGAAAGAAAAAGAAAATCAGAGAGCACATCAGTGAATATTTTTCTTTTCTTTCTCTCTTTTTTCTTTCTTAAAAAAAAAAATTGGCAGAGGAAGATTCAGTTCCTGGAAATGCTTACAAAATGATTCCTGACACTGGGAGGAGATAGTTAAAAGAAAAAAAAAAAAGAAGACAAGAAAAAATATATACATATATATAGATAAAAAAGAAGACGGAAAGAAAAGGAATAAACAAAAGAAAGCTAAGAAAGAACTAAAAGAGAAAGGGGGAAAGACTTTAAAGGGCCCCAATTCAAGGAACCTTATCAAGTTCTCAGCATCTGCAATTCACAAGCCGCTCCCGGGTTGGGGCGGTGCAGACCACGCCCCTTTCTCGGGTGTCGGGCGCTCATTGGTGGGAGAGGCAGTCGCCGGCCGGTGACTGCCCGAGGAAAGGTTGCCTGGGACACGCATCCCTGTGTGAACGCATGACGTCCCACCCTGGCGCCAGGCTGTCTGGGGCTGAGTCTTAGATCAACACAGCTGTGGGACCGGGACCCACAGCTGGGCAAAGGAGCGGATTCCTCAACAAAAAATAGGATTGTGAGAAAAGTTCTGAAACAAAAACAGCGCAGACAAAAGCCTTAATGACATCCTTTCATAAAAATAAAAAATGCAAGAGGGGGGAAAAAGCTGGTAAAAGGAGCAGAACTGGGAACAGAAAGTTCAGAGGCATTTGGAATAAGAGGCTGAGGCCCCGCCACCGCTAAACAAGTTGCAGAAGACTGAGCGAGGCCGTCCAGTCTGCTGGTAGGGAAAAGAAGTCTTTGGGGTTTAAAGTATTCAGTGTTCCCTGTCCAACCGCAACCGGCTTCTTTCAGAATTAGAACCATAGATTGGAGAAGACCCCTAAAGGTCATTTGCTTCCCCCACCCCACCCCCAAAATAAGGCCCAGGAAGAATAGAAATTTGTCCCAGGGCAAGTTATTGGCACAGACAGGACAGAATTCCGCTTGCTAATCCCACTGCATCCTTCTGTCTTATGTCACACTGCCCATGGGCATTTCAGCTTGGAAGCATCCTGGGAAATAATAAATATGAAGGTGCTTTGCAAACCATTAACCGCTATGCAAGCCTGAGGCTTCAGCAGTAATAATGGAGGAGGGGAGAATCTGGGTGGCCCTGTACCACCACACACCAGGCTCCACGCTGGGCCCCCAGGCACCAGGGAGACTGAAGGATCTGATGGAAGGAGCAGGACAAGCACCTTACAGAGAAAAGGCATTTAATAATCATTTGTTGAGTAAATGAGGTCAGTCTGATTAGCTCCATTTTATAAAGAGGAAAACTGAGGCACAGAGAGGTAACTCAGCCAAAGTTCACAGTCAGTAAAAGTGAATAATAAGATTTTCAACGTAAGTTTGACTGGCTCTGAAGACCATGATTTTTGTAGAACCTCCTGGCTTGACAATTTTGCACCAACCACAGAAATGTGCATGACCGAAAAAGAAAGGATCTTCTGTTTGGTCATCCAAGAGTCCTGATAGCCATTATCTTCCCTTCCTGTGACCAAATAGCTGGCACTTTTCTGTAGCATCTAGAGACTGATTTGTCTACCCACAGGACCCTTTCCTTTCTCTGTCTTATATTGAAATAGCTATTCTTGAAAACATTATTATTCCAAGAAGAAAATCTTTGAAGACCTCTTTCAGAGTACTGTGGAATGATGGAAAAGAACAAGACTTCAAAATTGGCTCTACTATTACTTGTGTATGGTACTGGACATGCTTTATATCACCTCTCTGGGCCCTTTGCCATCCCACACCTGCCTGCCCAAATTTCACAAAAGCGTAAGGGTTGGAAAGAATGTAAAATAATCACTTAGCACCATCTTCTCACTTTATTCACAACGCAACTAAAACCAGGGTACCTAAGCTTATACAAAATTTCATGATCAATAATTGATAGAGCTGGCATGTTCAACCCACGGCTTCCAATTCCAAACTTAGTGTCCTTTCCACTAAAACTTTTTTTTTTTTTTGTACTAGGGATTGAACCTAGGAACACTCTACCCTGAGCTACATCCCCAATCCTTTTTATTTTTTATCTGGAGACAGGGTCTGGCCAAGTTGCTGAGGCTGGCCTGGAACTTTCTATCCTCCTGCCCAGCAAGTTGCTGGCATTACATTTGTGTGTGTCACCAAGTTGGGCTCCATTGTAACTACTTTGAGACTCACCCAGCTCAGAGCTCCCATTGTCCTGTTAATCAGTACCACACACTATTGAACTCTTAATTGTTTCCTGTGTTAATCTTGTCTCCCCAAATTGTGAGATTCTTGAGAAGCAGAAGCCACTGGTCTATGTGAAGTCACTCCATAAATATTTACCAATAAATTGATTAAGAAAGCAATCATTAGGAGAATCCCACTTGGTCATTTCTAAGATGGAACCCAGCATCTTGGAACAGCAGATTCCCAAATGTCCTGGGAAGTGACAAGAAGACAAGCAAAGAATACTGAGCACAATGTCCTGTTGGAATATAAGACTTAGCTTGCCTGATCACTGGTCCTTTCCTGGTCTCTCAGATAGAGCAGGAGCTACTTCAGCAGGGCTGAGAATAATCAAGTCCAGGTGGCTGCCCTTCCATAACAGAAAAGGGACAGACAAAAGAGTCACAAAATTAACATTGTTTTCTGCACAGTAATGTGTGCAAAGTGGGGAGAGCAAGAGTTAAAAGAGATTTGCTGACCCCATAAAGAAGGGGATCCTAAAAATGTTTTTTAAGAAATTGTTCCCTCTGGTTCCCCATATTTGAAACTCTGTCCAAAATTTTAATCAAACTCAATTCCAAAGCACAACTGGGCATATATTTGGTTCTTTATGGAGTTCGTGCAGCAAACGTCTGAGCTCTTTTCTTTCCCCATGCTAAAAGTATGGCTTTGAGCAGCTTTCTTCTCTTTTTTCTTTTCCCCTGTTGCTCAAATAAATAGTGTTCTTTGCTCAAACCCCCTTCCCCTCCTCCTCCTGCAATCTCAGCGCCTAGCCCAAATCTGTTTTCTTCATTGTAACCTCAGCTTCACCGCAATTAATTTTTTTCCCCTCTGGTCACAAGATAATTCCTGACGCCAGTGAGTCTGGAGAGGTCAGACGAACAGCAAATTGGGGAACAAGGCGGCACTAATTCCTTACAAGTTTCCCTTGAAAAATCTTTTGCTTAAAAAAAAAAAAAAAAAAGCTTAGCTGTTCAGGGATTTATGACCTCTGAGGAGCTGTGGGTTCGAACCAGTGTTGGGCTAAGGGTGGACTGGCAGGGGGCAGGGGAGCTCAAAGATCTGGGGCACTGCCAGGAAAAGGCAAATTCTTAAAGTTAATGGTTTTAAGTGATTTTTTAAGCCCTGGCTGGCGAAGAGGCCCGCCTCTCCCCAGTATCAGCGCTTCCTCATTCTTTGAATCCGCGGCTCCGCGGTCTTCGGCGTCAGACCAGCGGGAGGAAGCCTGTTAGCAATTTAAGCAGGCTGTGAACGCCCAGGGTTGGGAGAGGCGGGGCCCAGGGCCGGAGGAGGCGGGGCCCGGGCGAGCCGTTTTGAATAAAGGGGCGTGCCTTCAAGAGGGGCTCTATAAGAGCCGGCAGCGGCGTGCCTGCGCGCACTACAGTCCGCGTTAGTGGTAGCTTGGTTGGTTTTGTTCCTTCAGTTTCATTCTCCAACATGAAGGCGTTGAGTCCTGTGCGCGGCTGCTACGAGGCGGTTTGCTGCCTATCGGAACGCAGTCTGGCTATCGCTCGGGGCCGCGGCAAGAGCCCAGCGGCGGAGGAGCCGCTGAGCCTCCTGGACGATATGAACCACTGCTACTCGCGCCTGCGAGAACTGGTGCCTGGCGTCCCGAGGGGCACTCAGCTTAGCCAGGTGGAAATCCTGCAGCGCGTCATCGACTATATCCTTGACCTCCAGGTGGTCCTGGCCGAGCCGGCTCCTGGGCCCCCAGACGGTCCTCATCTCCCCATCCAGGTGCGTGCGGGAGCCGGGGTGGGACAGGGTTGGGCGCAAGGGCTGGGATGCTGCGAGTCCCTCAGAGCACGGCGAGTTCCTTGCATAACTCTCCCCTTATTTCCCAGACAGCTGAGCTTGCTCCGGAACTTGTGATCTCCAACGACAAGAGGAGCTTCTGCCACTGACCCTGCCGTCCTGGCACCTCCAGGTGAGGATCCCCTCCGGGGGAAGGTTTACACTGCAAATTGAGAGATCGGCATGCCCTTTAGAGGGTTACTACCCCTCGGTTTAGAGAAACCGAGCCCAAAGGGAAAAATGACTTGTCCGTGTTCACTTTAAATGAATGACAAAACCATTTTCTATCTAATGTGCGTATTTCGGACTTAACGGACATTGGCTCTGTCCTCCCGAGAGGGCAAAGATCCGGAAAGTTGATGCAGATCTGACTAAATAAAAGCCTTTTCTGATTGTTACCGTAAAGACAGCTGTGTCTTTCTCGTCCCCCTTCCAAATAGTGTCCTTCCAAGGAGGGAGGGGTAGTGGTGGCTCCGCCAGTGGTCCTTTGGCGCCAACTGGGTGGGGGCAGTGTGGGGCGCGGAGTTATCAGCTGGAGGTAGAGACCAAGTTTCCTCCCTGGCGCCGGCCAGTCTGCGGACGGCCCCCGCCTCGGCGCGCTCGGCGGAAACTGACGGCTCCCTGCTCTTCTTTCCTCCCCCGCCCAGAACGCAGGTGCTGGCGCCCGTTCCGCCTGGGACCCGGGGACCCTCTCCGGCCGGAAGCTCCAGGGCATGGATGAGCCCTAACCTCGCCCTGCCCACTTTACTTCCCCAAACCCCTGCCTCGAGGCTGGACCTGGCGCCCGGGAGCAAAGGACTGTGAACTTGGGTGGCCTGAAGAGCCAGAGCTAGCGCTGGTCACCAGCTGGGCAACGTCACCCTGCCCCCACCCCACCCCCAAGTTTTAAAGACTGTCTGTTCAGAGTGGAGGGCTGGAGAGTGGGGGAGTGGCAGCTCTCCCGAACTCTGCCGCGAACTCTGCCAAGGCGGCGTTTGAGCTGTCTTCTGGTCTCCCTGGAGAAAGGCTCTGTTGCCCTGATTATGAACTCTATAATAGAGTATATAGCTTTTGTACCTTTTTTGCAGGAAGGTGACTTTCTGTAATCATGCGATGTATATTAAACTTTTTATAAAAGTTAACATTTTGCATAATAAACGGTTTTTAAACACTTTATATGATCTCATGAAACATCTCATTCCTTGTACTAATTTTCTTACATGGCTGACTTTGGGAAAATAAATATTTTGGAACTTGGGAAGAGCAAATTTGCTTATTCCCTCAAGAGGGAGAGGAGAACTCCCATTTGAAACTGGAGGGTGGGGTGGTGGAAAGAGGTCATGGTGGGAATCCCATATCCATTGGGGGTTGGGAACAGAAAAGAACTTGGTCCTTCCCCTTTATCTTAGAGAAGACCAGCACAAGCTCACCCAGCCAGTTGGGGACTTGATTATCAGGTCCCTTGAGATCTAGCAGTGTCTGTCTTCAATGTCATTATTAATGCCTTTCTAGCAGGGGATGTGGTAAGAGTGGAGCCTCCAGTTTGCCTTATCTGGTGCCCAGTCAGGGGTGGTGACTGAGACCCATTTCTGAGATGAATAAACTCAGCATTGGGCCCAGTTTCATTTCCAATCATGCTCTCTGATCTGGCTTCCCCCAGTGCTTCCAAAGTTGGAAAAAGAACAGAGTCTCTTCAAATCTGCAGCCACTCTGACAAGGACTTGCAAGCTTGTTGGGAAGTATTGGTACTGGTCCTCTTAATGCTATGTAGACTCAGGACCTGAGCTGGGAATTTGAGGAGGGGTCCCCAGAGCCCTCATTACTTCAGATATTCCTACACCTCCACTGGGAACTTATTCTGTAAGCATCTTTGTACCTTCATCAGAATGGGGAAGGTCAGACTCAGTCATAGGCTGAACCAGTTTTTCCCAGCCCCTTAAGAGCAAGAATGGGATTTGAATTGTAACTACAGTGACTAGAATTGTGGTGGACAGGGGGTCAGTCCTGGGAGTGAGGCAAAAGGCAAGACTCCAACTAATGCCATCTCCAACTGCCCCCCACCTGGTAGCTCCCCAGGTGGGCTCCACCAGGCACCTAGCTTCACCGGATTCTTGTTTATGATATGATCTCATTTGTGTGTTGGCCCCTGGCATGTGTTACTGTAGTATTTCATAACAAACAAGTCACATCATTACCTTTTGTGCCTTAACCCTGGTGAGCTTTCTGGGGTGAACAGGGGCATTTGGGGTGGGGGCAACCTCTGTTTTTGCCAACCATCCTCCCAGCCTGACCATTGGTTCTTAGCACATTTCAGGTCATGATCTCTGATGCTCTGATGGAAGGTATGAACACTCTTCAAAATATACATACCCTCCCCACAACTGCAGAGCAACTGCAGACCTCCAACCCTCTGGAGGCCCATAGCATAAGCCCTTGCCCCAATCAGACTGTAAGACCCCAGCTGGGTCTGCCCTGGACTGTCTGAAGTAGTGCTAAGATGGTTCTGGGGACAGCTAAACAGCTACAAATCCCTACTTTTCCTCTGGTCTCTAGCTTGCATTTTTTTCTTTTTGGTACAGGGGGTTGAACCCAGGACCCTTTACCGGTAAGCTACATATAAAAACACCCCCCCCACACACACACCTTTTTTAAAAATATTGAGACAGGGTCAGTTACTAAGTTTCAGAGGCTGGCCTCAAATTTGCAATCCTGCCTCAGTACCCCAAGTTGATGGGATCATAAGCTTGCACTAACAGGTCCAGCAAGATTGACTCTCTTGAGCCTGTTTCCACATCTGTGAAAGGGAACTGATTTTGAAGAAGCAGTCTGAGGTGCCTAGCTCCACCTCATTAACCAAATCAGTTATACCATTAACTGCAATAGAGTCGGGCATTTGAGCTCCATGACCTATACCTTTTTCAGCCTGCTGCCTCCTGCTTGCTCAAAAGTTGCAGGAATGGGAAAGGATTGAAAAAGCCCTAGCTCTCACCGCCGTGTGACCTTGAGCAAGCCACTTCACCTCTCTGAGCCTCTTTTCCTTTGCTGCCTCCGTGGACAGAAGATAATGGTGGGAAAGTTCTTTGAAATGCATCACACACCTAGGAGGTATTATTAAGCTAATTCCAAGGAAATTGCTTGTCAGGACTCCCAGGGCTGAGCTGTTCAGGTGGCCAGGACAAAAGCTTAGACCAGCACGCCAATCCATTAGTCATTAGAGAGTGAAAGCAATTTGGCCCTAGGTCAGAAAACTCTCAGAGGTTAGTGTCTTCCATGATAATCACTTAGCAAGTGCCTACTAGGTGCCACATTCCATTTTATTTTATTCTAATTGTCACTACAACCCAGGAAGGTGGGTATCATTACTCCTGTTTTACAGAGAAAACAGACTCGGGCTGAATAGCTTGATTCAGGTCACAGTAATGAAGTGGCAGAGTGGGGTTCAGGAAGGCCAGCTTCCTCTAGCTTCAAAGCCCAAGTTCTCGACTTGACTTTAAATGGGCTCTTTTCCCTGATATTCCAAGTGGGGCATATGTTTGGTCCCCAGAGGAACCTAAGGCCACCCCAGGTATCTCCCTTCTCTGTGCAAGGGGGATGATGGTACCTCCTTCCAGGTTTGCGATTCAGATAACAGACAATGCTCATCAAATATCTACTTAGGCTCCCTGAATTACAAGGGGCATAGTCAACCGAGTGTGTTGTGCTCATTTCGCAGGCATTCTTTGCACCAGCTCTGAAATTCAGTCATTTGGAAGTTATCTTTCCCTTGTAAATAAACAAGCTTAGAACAGGCAAAATAACTTGCTCGTGGCCACACAGCTCCTAAGTAACAAAGCAGGGGTTCAAATTCATGCCTCTAACACCATAAATGGTGCCACTTTGAGAAAGGCAGTAAAGCTCTCTCTATAGCTGTGGATGCGCGGGACAACCTCCAATTACCCGTCTTCTGGCCTCATCGCCTCTCATGGCCCCCACTTTTCCCCATGCCCCATGCTGCACCTAGAAACCTCCATCAGTCTCCTGCAGAGCTGCTTCCAGAGCTGCCCTCTGCCCACTCGCGGGCCTCGGTGGGGAGAGCCACTCCGCACCCGCGGCTCCTTGGCGCCTGCACAGGGGAGGCGCCGGGAACACGTGGCTCGGAGCCCGGCTAGGCGGAGTCGAGCGTCCCCGCCCCTCGCCCCGCCCCCGGCCCGGCGCCCGGCGCTCCCCCCGCGGGCCCTGGGGGCCGCTCGCAGGTGTTCGCTGGCGCCCGGATGTCTGAGCTCTGGCTCCGCTCTGGCTCCCGCTCCCTCCGCAGCCCGCGGGCGGGGCTCGCAGCCCATCCGGAGCCTCGCGGCGCCCCCGCCGCTCTGCCAGCAGCGCGGCCTCCTAGTTCCCAGCCTCTCGGCCTCGGGGGGCCCCCACCCAGCGGAGTCGCTGACCCCACTGCTCTCCCGCTGCCCCCAGCTGCGCTCGGGCCGCCGCAGCCTCGGCGCGCCCCCACCCCGCTTCCTGCCTCGGCCGTTTTGCCCCGGCCGGGCGGCCGCCTGCATCGCACCCCGTTCCTTCCTTCCTTCATTCTTTCAAGCAGCTTGCATTCCTCGAGCGCCTGCGACGTGCCCCGCACAAGGCCTCTCCGACCTTCTGAGAGTGGCCTCAGGCCATGGGGCTCCTCCGGGAAGCCTCTGCCCTCGGCCCCTGCTCTCCCTCCCTGCCCCCACCCGCCCCGTTCTGGCCTCTGCGCTGTCCGGTTTCACTCCGAGTTTAGCATTTAATTGTTCTCTGATTATTTCTCTTGCTAGGGGTCAGTCTGCAGCAGATCCCTTTGCAGCACAGTGACTGATTAGAGTGTGGCTAGAATTGGGGTTCAGCCAGTCCTTGGCAAGGTTTGGGGATAAGTGTGGGCAGAAGTTGGCAGTAGTCACTTTTGCCTGGCTTAAATGATCAGGGTGTCGGGGTCAGTCTGTGAGTAGGGACAGTGGATAGTCTGTATCAGTGTAGGGAGGTCACCTTGACATCAGGATTTGGGAGTTGCTTTTGACAAACCAGATAAGAGGACGAGTTCTCTTTAGCCCTGTGAGCTTGGATTCACATCCCTCCATGGTGGCTCACCATGGCCCATCTTACTTCCCCACCCAAGCTCTGGAGCTGTCCTTCTATCTGGGGACACTCACTCTCCTCACCACCACCCTGCTCTTACTTAGGGCCACATGCTGCAGGCAGAAGTTCTCCTTGGGCCTTACTGTTGTTAGAAGGAGCTCAGGCTGGCAGCCGAATTGGCCAGAGTAGGGAGGCCTTCTGCTTCCCAGGGATCCCACCCTGGAGCCACCATGGATAACAGGCAATTGATTGTCCTCTTCCCTTCATTTGTTCATAAATCTAAAACCCATCAGAGATAGAAGGGTCCTCGAGGTCACACTTAAGGCCCAAAGAAGGGCAGGGTCTGCTCAGGTACATGTAGCAAGTTGGTGGTCAAGACAAATCTGGAATCCAAGCTTCTCAGCCCTTAGGGATGGGACAGTTGAGGCCATGAGAGGCCAAGGCTCTGGAAAAGGAAAGTCGGGGAATGGTGACTCCTCAAATCAAGGTCCTCTTGTTATTGCCCACCCAGCCCTCTCCCTCCCACAGTCATGAAGAGCCAAAGGAACAAGGGTGGTCAAATGTGAGTTTGAAGCTGGGGAGGGAGAGAACACTGTGAGAGCTGCTGGAGAAAAGCTTAGCTGGTTCTTACAGAAACATATGGAACTCATTACCCTAAGTCAAGGTGGTTGCTGGCCAGCTGGCAGTTGGTGGGTTTGGGGCTCAAAGTGTGCGTTGTGTGGTAATGAGGGTACTCGTAGCCCAGTAGGCTTCTAAGAATAACCCGCCTGCTTGATGATCCTGGTTTTTGCTAAGCCTTGTTTTCTTTCCAGTCTATGCCACTTCTAATAATAATGCCACTTCTAATAATAATGCAGGGAAGGGGTGAGGACCTGGGGACATTAGACATTTCTCCCCAATGTAACTTCCTTCTCTATCAAGACAAGAAACTGGTACGGCTTTCTGTGGGTCCAGATGTGCGAAGTGTGGAGCCACTGTGATCCCAGCTTCCTTCTGTGTTCATCCAGGTAAGCCCCAAGGGGCCTATCTATTGGTCCAATATCCTGTCAATCACATTTTCCAGTGCAGATTCAAGTCCACCTACAAAGAGAGTGGCAAGG